CCCCAGGGAGAGCTATGCCCCGCCTACCCCTCCCCCCGCCCCCCATGGTCACTCTGTGGTCAAGTGATGCCCACCCACCCCCAACCCACAAACCTTGTGGTCAGCTGATGAGGAGAAGCATGTGCACATTTGCACCAAAACACCTCCCTGTCTCCTCAGCATCTACGAACGCTGGCTGCGGAAGCACCAGCCCAGCAGGGGGCAGTACCCCGAGGCCAATGCTCCAATTGGCCATAATGGCGCCTACTTCATGGTGCCCTTCCTGCCCCTGTACCGCAACAGGGACTTTTTCATCTCCAGCAAGGAGCTGGGCTACGAGTATGCAGACCTGCTGCCGCCAGGTGGGGCCAACACATGCAGACGCGCCTTTGCTATCATTTTAACTGCCCAGAACATCTAAAAGCTGAAAGTGCTTTTGAGTCCCCAGCTGCTCCTGCACTGTTCAGAAACCTCACTTTTCTCCTCCGTTCTTCTCCATCACTTCCCCTTTCGTTTCCTGCCCCCTCTCTCTGTCTTCCCCCAGCTGAGTATTTCATTCAGGAGGTCCTCGCTCCGTACCTGGATCAGTTTAGAAGGATCTGGCCCTGGCTGCTCAGTGCCACTGCCCTGGGGGGTTTGGCCGCCATGCTGACAGCGGTCGCTCTGACCAGTTTGCCTTCGACCCCCTGCTGGCCATGGCGGAGGAAGATGAAGAAGGGATCAACATACATGGAGAAACAGCCACTGCTAAGTGCACACCCCATGCTGTAACCTGACCTCCTCGGGGGGTGGGGAGTACTGGCTTACAGAGAGGAAGTTGCAGAGGAACCCTTTTGCACTGATACATGTGCAAATAGGGCGTCTGGCGCATTTCAATCTGGCAGTCAATCATGACAGCCCTCAGGGATTACAAGCAGGCCTCAGATGGCCTTCAAGAGAGACAAGTAAAAGCTGAAACCCAGTTTATTACTGACCTCACTGCTATAGAGAAGCTCACCATCTCCATCCTAATGTCTGTAACAGCTGCAGTTCTGAATAAAAGTTTGAAATAAACTGTCTGTTGATTCATCCCTATGTGATATAACTGCCTCGGGTAACACCCCCGCTCTTTGCGAGATTTACAGGCCAAAAGGTTCTCATCAGTAATATACTGTTCCTATGTTCCTTATAGGACTTTAAGTTTACCCATTATTTATGTTTTCAGGTGGAATGCCTATAGAATACCTGTACTGGGTAATTATAAGCTGTAAAATAATGCCATTAATCATCAATATAATTTACGGTATAATTTGCTCGCAATGTAAACGGGAGAAGCAAAAAAGAAACGTCCTGTGAGAGTCTCAAGTTCACGTGCAATCACGCCGAAGCCAAACACCTGCAGGCGCGTCGCCGCGGCCATTTCATCCGCACCGGTGCACGATCGCGGTGCGCGTTATTTTTGAGCAGCGGGTGATTGGGGTGGATCCGGCCAACGACACAGTTGCAGGTATAATAATAATAATAATAATATTATTAATAAAATGTTTCATGTGTCTGGGTGTTTACTGTGTGTGAAGGGTGTCTGACCGTCTTCTCGCACTAGGTTTCGTTTTCAAACTCCCCGTAAATCCGTGTTCATCATGCCGACTGCAAACGTCACCGATGCGCGAATGACCAAGTTCAAGAACAAAGGCAAAGAGCCTTCCGTGAGTTAACGCATAGTTTGCCCTGACGGTCTTCCGTTGCCCTGCTTCACGATCCTATGATCTTCACGATCTTTTTGCAGAAACTCCGGGAGCGTCGCATTGCTGTGTGTGTGGAGCTCAGGAAAGCTCAGAGGAGTGAGAGCATTTTGAAGAAACGAAACATTTCTTCCTTGCCCGACGATGAAGCTCTCTCTCCGGAGTACGCAACCGATAACAAAGAGGTGACTTCTTCCCTGCTTGAACTGCCCTAAACTACTTTGACGTATAAATACTTTGCCCTTTCGCAGCGGGGCTGACGCGCATATGCTCTTCAGGTCATTTCGATTGCCATTGAGGAAATAATCTGCAATGTGAATAGCAACTCTAAGGAGCAGCAGACCCGAGGATGTCAGGCAGCCAGGTAAGAGGGGGGTAGGGGGTGCCATGACACGCTTCCTTTTAACTGGAAGAACTTGAATCTGTTCTCTGCAAGTCCTTGTCTGTCCTTTGCCTAAAACCTTGTAATTGTTCTGTTGGAGTTGTGATTTTGTAGTCATTGCTTTCATCACTGATGCTGGTATGCTGTGCCATGTTCCCGCCCCCATAGAAAGCTGCTTTCCAGAGAGAGGAACCCCCCTCTGAAGGAGATCATTGATGCTGGGCTACTTGCTCGTTTTGTGGACTTCCTGGGGAGGGATGATGACCCCACCTTGCAGTTCGAGGCCGCCTGGGCTCTCACGAACATCGCCTCCGGGACATCTTGGCACACGCAGCAAGTGGTGGAAAATGGTGCTGTTCCTGCTTTCATCACCCTGTTGGGCTCTCCCATGCTGCACATCAGTGAGCAGGCTGTCTGGGCCCTGGGCAACATCGCTGGTGAGTGCTGTGGGCCAAGAGCAGCCTGGGATGAGTCTGGGCCCTGGCGTGAACCCTGGTCTCCCTTGCTCAGGTGATGGACCAGCCTACAGGGATGCCTTGATAGCATGTAATGTGATCCCAGCCCTGTTGGCCCGACTCACCCCAGATGCTCCAGTGAGTATCAAAAAAACTTGTTTTTTTGATGTGGTGGCCCAGAAATGGAATTTATTAATATCTGATAGTAACCAAAATGCAAAATCTCATTTTGTTTAGTTGCATGTGGTTAAGGTTGTCATTGTTGGGATTGGGGTTATGTCCTAGAAATGGACCATCCCCACAAAGATATGAATGTCTCTAACCTCTGCTTCCTCCCCAGGTGGGCTACCTGCGCAACCTAACATGGACACTGTCCAACCTGTGCCGCAACAAGAACCCTTTTCCACCCCTTTCTGCAGTGCAGCAAGTCCTGCCCTCCCTGGTGCAGCTCCTCCATCTCGGCGACAAAGATGTTCTGTCTGATGCCTGCTGGGCCATCTCCTACCTCACTGACGGTTCCAATGACCGCATTGATGTTGTGGTCAAGACTGGCATTGTTCCTCGTGTGGTTGCCCTTATGGAATTTGAGGAGCTGTCTGTTCTGGTAAACCTTCTGTAGTTTTCTGGTCTATGTCCAAATGTTCTGTATGGGACTAGTTAAGAATGCTTTGAATAACCTGTAGCTATTAATCAGTGCCACAACTAGCGTTGATTGTGATGTCTTTCGCTGAGCACTGATCTCCTTCCAGACCCCAGCTCTGCGCTCCATGGGAAATATTGTCAGTGGCTCAGACCAACAAACGCAGGTGGCGATCGATGCGGGGGTGCTGTCGGTGCTGCCACGCCTCCTGCGCCACCCCAAGCCCAGTGTGCAGAAGGAGGCAGCCTGGGCTGTGTCCAACATTGCAGCTGGACCATGTCAGCAGATCCAGCAGCTCATCACCTGTGGCCTGCTGCCACCACTAATTGACCTGCTGAGGAATGTAAGCTGTGGTGGAAGGTCTCTGCTTGGGGGTGGAGAGCTTAATTTGAACATCTGCAGTGACTAATTTTAGTGGCCTGCTGTAGATGCTTCAGGTTGATGGTAATCCTGTCTCAGTGGGACCTTTTTTATGGAGTAAACGGCCTTCAAGGTGACGGGTGGTAGAAGGGAACCCACCACACCCAAATATACCTTTTGGTTCTATGCATCTTCAGATCCCTTCCTAACCTAGTCACGGGGGTGAGGTTAAGCTCAGCTTTGTGTACTAAGCCTAACGCCATGCTCCTGGCAGGGTGACTTCAAGACCCAACGGGAAGCTGTTTGGGCCATAACCAACTACACCAGTGGGGGCACAGTAGACCAGGTAGTGCAGCTGGTGCAGAGTGGGGGTCTGGAGGCCATTCTGGATCTTCTCCACATCAAGGATGCCAAGACCATCTTGGTGATTTTGGATGCCATCAACAACATGTTCTTGGTAAGGGAGTTTGGCCTTCAGCTGTACTTAAGAGCTATTTCAAGCCTTGAATGACACTGGTTTACCCCTGCCAAAAAAAAGGTTGTGGGTCCCCTTCATCCTGGACTTTTTAGCAGTATAACGTATGATTCTGAAGTGGTTGTACATGGACTGGCTTTCCAGACTGCTGAAGGTTGTGAACCTAGCCTGAAGCATAGGGTTTGCACTTGGCTCCAAGATGTGAAAAGGTCCAAGAGCAGTGGGTCTGCTGGGTTGCAGACTTGGAGGATCCTTATAGATGGGTGACTTGGTTAAGACTGCATTAAGAGCTGGAGCTTCAGGCTGTTTCTGTACCAGCAGGCAGCTACTAAGCTGGGAGAAACTGAGAAGCTATGCCTCCTGGTGGAGGAGGTGGGGGGCTTGGAACGGATAGAGCAGCTTCAGAACCATGAGAATGATGCTGTGTATCGTACTGCCCAGGAGCTCATTGAGAAGTACTTCAATGAGGTAAGATCAGTGCTGCTAATGGCTATGCTTGGTGTACAAAGTGGAGTGTTGGGCAATCTGGTACAAGGTTCCACATCCAAGGACTCCTTGATTTTAAAGCAGTTTTGTGAGCTTGTATGTGGAATGTTGGTGATCAGCTAATGTGTCAATCTGCTTGACTGGCATTGCATGCAGTAGGATTTCAGAATCTACCATAACTCTTTACCACTAGGATGTGGAAGATGAATGTTTCAAGACTGAAGCTACAGAGAGAGACTTTGTCTTCAAGCCTGCTGAAGTTGATAAACAATTTAACTTCTAAGGTTTTTAATGCTTTTGTGTAACTTAACTAATATATAAATAAAGCTGCTTTTTCCCCAACTATATGTCCCTGGATTGGCTCAAAGGTCCTGTCAAATGTAGGACACAGCATTTAAGTAGTACTGTCTGGTTGAGTCTCCTTCCTCCGCCATAGGTTTGCATTGGGCATTGCTGTCCATGATGACACTCCTACATACTTGGGTTTTTTTCCTTTCCTACAAGGGTAAATATGGCCTTGTGGAGGCTCAATAGTACCAGCAGCAAAGGTAACTCCAAGCTGTTCCAATTCAACACTTATTTGGGGGAAAGTCATAAAATGGCAGTTCTTTTCTCTGGATGTTTACAGGACAGCTAAGCTGTTTGTAAGTGGCTTACATCACACCCCAGTGACTGTGTACATCCCTCAGTGTGACTTGCACCACACCTAACAGTGTGTCCCTTAGTGTGGCTCATCCTTTCCGGACAAAGTGCTCTGCTCTCCTTAATCCCTGAGGGCTAGATACACCTTGTATGCTGCAATAACATACAGGCTTGTTAATGTTAAAGGTTCCTTGAATTACCTTGGATATTAAATGGACTATAGAGTCCTGTTGCTTGAGTGATAAACTGTGAAAAATGGTTTCCAAGGGCTTGTCTTTATGAGGCTCTTCTGCACGTGCTTGAAACTGAGGTAACACTGCTAGGATGTGGGGGGTAGTTGAGTTACACTGTCATTGTGCTGACTGAAGCTGGGTGGAGTTTGTGTGGAGTCTAACAGCACAGATGCTTGGTAGAAGGTTTACACAGCACTGAAAATGCCCCAACAGTGTCTCCATCTTCTGAAGATGAATCACACAGAATGTGGCCGGAAGCTGTGAACACACAACCTGCAGGAAACCCTGGGGGGGACAGAACTGCACCACATTCCTGGACGTGAGCATGTGTAGAAACCCTTCTGATGCTGGGATTCCTCCAAACACTGCTGCTTTTTTTTGGGGAAGGAGATGTTGAATTCTCAGACCAGCATTGACGTTTCACGTTTTGTAACGGGACTGTTTCTGCCACTAAGGTATTGGAGAAAAGCTCAAGCAGTCAGACACGTGAAATACCATGACAGATGGCTGGTCATTGGTGTACTGCTGCCATCTGCTGGTGTTGCTGATTATTACACTTCAAATCCAGGTGTATCTCGTCAAATTGCATTAGAACCATGAAACCATGATTGAAGGGATAAAACTTGCTTTAAGCAAATGAAATTTTTACTTTAAAACAATTACATATGTGCATTATCGTACATACATGCATACTGTCTAAGTATCGTAGCATCCTCGTCTTTGGAAGTCTGTAAAAATTGCTGTTCCTGGTAGAGAGCAAAATGATTGTGGGGGACTGTGACAATGAATCTGGGAATTGGAGCCATCGACGGAGGCTACTTAAGTGGGTGTTTCGCGGGTTTTCGCGCCCTTGGTGAGTTAATAGTAAGCATATTTGTAAGGGATGGCTGTGACTGACAATAACCAGTATTAAACCGGTTAAAGAAAAAGTTTGATGTATTTAGTACCAAACACTACAGTATGTTGTGAAAAGCTTTAATGAATTTGTTGAAAAACATGTAGGCAAAAATAATGCATTGTTTTTCATCCTCATTTCTACATTTCCAGCAAATAGCCTGTTTCACTGTAGTTTGTGTGTATGTGGTCATGAATATATTACATTGTGGGGACCAAATGTTCTGACATAAACAAACCTGTTATTTTGGCCTTGTGGGGACATGTTTTTTGGTCCCCACAAGGGGAAATTCAGTTTTAGAATAAAAACAATGCCAATCAAGTCTTTTTTTTCTTATGATTGAAGTTAGGGCTGGGTGGTGGTTAAGGTTTTCATTGCTGGGATCACGGTTATGCCCATAGAAATGAATGGAAAGTCGCTGACAAAGATATGGATACAAACACGTGTCTGTTTGTGTGGCTGTGTGTGTGTGTGACGGTCTGTATTTGCTGTATGTCCTTGGGTAGCTTTAGTTTGACTGGGGGGAGATCAGATTGTACATGGGTGTAGCAGATGAAAGTTATTTTTACAGTGATTTTTTTTTTTCTTCTGGTGAGGTAAGCTGACTTGTTTTTCACCAGTTTCAATTTATCTGTGCTTTTATGATTCTATAAAATAGATTTCAACTGCGATTGTTTTGTGCGTGTGTAACTTGCGAACCTGCACTCTGATTTTTTTTTGCTTAGTGTTTTATTATGAGGATGATGGTTATGGCTGCATTGTATAGCAAACCAAAAAAAAATGGCAAATAAATGTAATTTTAGACTAATACAAGCATGAAAACAGCCATGTAAACAGGTAATACTGACTGAGCCTTTTTACTTACAGACTTATTTGCTGCGTACAGTATGACACCACTGACATCTTAGAAAACCTCTTAAAATAATTTGATCTTAATTTTACTGGTTTATTAATATTTCCAATATTCAGTGCTGTGAAAGTTATGGTAGCTCTGTATATTATATTTTAACTGGAGGATGGGATGCAGGCTGGAGATGCATTTGTGACAGTGTGGTTATACAGAGGCTGTCAGAGTGGTATGTTGTTCTGTGACTCCTGTGACTGCGTTGGGGAAATAATATTATCGGTCTATGAAACCCCCTGGAAATCTGGTAAACCCTATCAGTCCTATAAGTCAAACAAACATGTCAGGTCAGACTAGTAAACAAGTGGCTCGGTCTAATTCACCCTAAACTGAACCTCCAGGAACCTCCAATGTTCTGTGTTCTCCTCCCTTCAGGATAGGTCAGTGGTTGTGGGTTGTGGAAAGGTGCCACTGGGAAGCCATGCGGACCAGTCTACTGTGCCTCGCCCTCCAGTTCTCCCTGCTGTCTCTCAGCCACTGCCAAGTTTCTCAGAGTTCTGTACCTGGCCTCACTTTTAACTTCACGCACTCGCTCTACAATGCCACCATCTACGAGAACTCTGCAGCCGGGACTTACATTAACAGTGAAGTGCGGATGGGAATTACGTTAGTCGTTAGGTCCTGGAAGGTCATATACAGGATCTCTTCTGGGGATGGTGGCCTTTTTCAGGCTGAAAACTACACACTTGGGGATTTCTGTTTCTTGCGCATTCACACCAGAAGTGGGAGCTCTGCAATCCTGAACAGGGAGGTTAGAGACACCTATATACTGACTGTGACAGCCGCCACCCCAGATGGCCTTGAGGCACTAGCTATGGTTGCTGTGCTGGTCCTGGACACTAATGATCTTCGGCCTCTTTTCACACCCACCATCTATTCTGTAACCGTGCAGGAGAAAATACCATTGGGGACCAGCGTGGTGCAAGTGACAGCAACTGATGCTGATGCTGGTTCCAATGCAGAGCTCTATTACTTTTTCAGAGAGAAGGTGGAGCTTTTGGCCATCCACCCTACTAGTGGGGTGGTCTTCCTCATTGCTCAACCTAGTCCCGACCAAAGGGGTTTACAAGAGATAGAGATACTGGCTGTTGACCGGGGAATCAAGCTATATGGTGATGAGAGTACGAGCAGCACAGCAAAGCTCTTCTTGCAACTGGAACATGTCAATAACCATTCACCGACCATAACCGTAGTTTCCAGGGTTCCTTCCAGGCAGGATAAAGATCCCGTCTTTGCTGAGGTCATTGTGGAAGACCTGGATGATGGATTGAATGGGGACATTGAAGGAGTCTCCATTGTGGCGGGTGACCCCCAGAAACTGTTTGTCTTAGATAAATTATCAGGAGGTAATGAGTACAAGGTAGTAATGTCTGAGCCAAGAGACTGGGGTCAATTCACTTATGGATATAACCTTACACTCCAAGCCAAGGACAGAGGCTCCCCACCAAAATTTTCAGACCTTCAAGTTGTCTGGGTATCAATTCAGAGCCCCCAACCTGTCCAGAGGAGATTTGAGAAAGAGTTGTATGACGTCATTATTAATGAAATTTCACCTCCTGGTTTCATTGTGGAGGTCATAAGAATTTTCCCAGAACAAAGCAATGCAAGATATATGCTGAATCCCACTACAGATTCTACACATTTTGACATAAACTCCTTAACTGGTGTGATAACCACTGCTTGTTCCCTTACCACAGTTAATCAGGAGTTGCTTGCACTCGAAGTGGTTGAGGTGGAGAGCAGACTCAGGACTAAGGTGTACATCACTATCGAGGACGCTAATGATAACAGTCCTGTGTTCAGCCAGGCCTCCTACCAGGGGACAGTTAATGAGCACTCTCCTGTAGGGACAGTGATCCTGGTGGTGTCGGCAGTGGATGGCGACAAGGGTGAAAATGCTTCTGTCATCTACAGCATATCCAGTTTTCAGCAGCTGCCATTTGCATTGGATCAGTATACAGGTGTTCTGAAGACCATCAAGGAGCTGGACTTTGAGTCTTGCCCTGAGCTCTATGTGTTTGTTGTCAGAGCGTCTGACTGTGGCACACCATACCGCCGTGAGAGCGAAGTCAACATCACTATCAGTCTGGTAAACATCAATGACAATCCACCCCAGTTTGACAAGGTTGCCTGTAGAGGAGCTATTTCTCTGGATTTTCCTGTGGGACAGCCGATCATCACTATGTCAGCTATAGACCTAGACAAACCAGAGTCAATTATATACAAAATCCAATCAGGAGATGAGCAAGATTTTTTCAATCTGAATCTTGACACTGGAGTCTTATCTTTAAAGAAATCTCTGGTGACAGCTAATCCGAAGAATGGTGTGTTCAGCCTGGAGGTCATTGCCAGTGATGGTGCGATTCTCTCTGATCCTACATTTGTGAATATCTCACTTCTCCGTGGCCAAATGTCCTTGAAGAACCTGAACTGCGAAGAAACCAAAGCTGCTGAAAAGCTTGTGGGAAAGCTGCTCAATAAAACTAGAATAGATGATAGGTCTACAGTCATTGAGAGGTTCTCTGATGTCTTCACTATGAACAGGCAAAGCCCACAGTTTGAATCTCTGCCTTCTGAAATATGGGTGCGGGAGGATCTTGCAGTTGGTGCAAGTGTCTTTAGAGTTCATGCATATGATGGTGACAGTGGCTTCAGTGGAAAGATTCTGTTTGCTATATCTGATGGTAACAAGGACAGCTGTTTCAATATTGATATGGACAATGGTTGGATAACTGTCCTTCTACCAATGGATCGTGAGAAAACCAACAAGTATGTTCTCAACCTAACAATTTATGATATGGGCTTACCTCAGAGGTCCACTGCACGATTGTTGATTTTGAACCTGGAGGACACCAATGATAATGCGCCACAATTTGAGCAAGAGAGTTACAACACAGTGATACTTGAGAACACCACCATTGGTACAGATATCATCCAAGTTAAAGCCACAGATAAAGACCAGGGTTGGAATGGCCAAGTCTATTACACTCTGCTAACGAGCACTACTGCATTCAAGATCAGTAGCACAACTGGGATAGTTCAAGTTTCTGAGAAGCTTGACAGGGAGTATATTCCAACATTTTATCTCCAAATAGAGGCTCGAGACGGGGCTGAGACTGGCAGCCAGAGATTCTCTTTGACCATTTTGAGTATATCTTTGGAAGACGTCAATGACTGCTCCCCTACCTTCATCCCAAAAGGTTACAGCACCCGTGTTCCTGAGGACCTGCCATCTGGCACAGTCATCACCTGGCTAGAAGCCCATGACCCTGATCTGGGACCTGGAGGCCAGGTCAAATACTCTCTAGCTGATGATTATGATGGCATGTTTGTGGTCAACAGAGACAGCGGGACTGTGCGATTAGTTGGTGACCTAGACTACGAGAAACACAACTTCTATAACCTGACTGTGATAGCAGATGATAGGGGCTTCCCGGTGCCCCTTCGGTCTGTGTCCTTCATTGTTGTGGAGGTGATTGATGTCAATGAAAACCTCAACGCACCCCATTTCACTAACTTCACCCTCAGTACTACGGTCAAGGAGAACTCACGAGTTGGAACCAGCATTCTTCGGGTTGTGGCTTGGGATAATGACCAGGGAAGGGACGGTGAGATCCGATTCTCAGTAAAGGCTGGGAGTGGACTGGGCAGGTTCACCATTGATGAGGAATCAGGTATGTCCCCAGAACCCCTTAACCATGCATTATGGATTTTCAGTTGAAGTTCTTTAAATGAAAGAAACAGATTGTAGTCATTAAAAAACACACAAAAAATGACTGTTAGAGAAAGTAAAATTACAGAGAGAGAGAGAGCAATCGTTGCCTTGCCTAGTGTAACTGATGTAGCCTGTGTGAGGCAGAGCCTGTAGCGTGAACATGTATGCATGCTAACAGGATTTCAAAGCACTAAACAGGGTGGAACCTATCAAAGTCAACCTGTCCTTTGACATGGAGCTAGCCAGTCAGGGATTAGGATAAACCAAAATGCAGACCAATCAACAGCCATGGCATAAGTATTTCACTGCCTAAATGGACAGACACCTCTGCAGCTCCTGTACGTTACATCTGCGCATGTGCTGGTGCCCTTGCTACCAATCTCTGTTTCAGTTTCCTACATGTTGCTTATAGTATCTAAAATATTCATAATCTGATTCCAATTTTTTGCTAATTCTTTGTGGCGAGTGTCAGGGTCAGCACCCATCCAACCTTGCCCTTTGTGTCCCCTTCCAGTTTGGCCAGCAGGTGTTGCTGGGCATCCTGTCCTGTCCCCCGTTTCTTGCCATTCAGCCCCAGTGTACCTAGTCCCTAGTATGTTGTCCCTGTTCCCCAGACTGCTGCATGGGTCAGTGGGCTGAGTGGGCGGCTCAGATTGAGAACCTGTGAGTTGCAGTTTCAAAGCTGGTTATGAACAAGCCTTTTTCTGGTTTTCCCTCATGTTATTGGTTAGCGGTGCTTTCCTGTTTTTTGGCGTTTTTGGATTTCAGTTGGTTCTTTGTCTTTTGCTCCTTGTTCTCGTTTACTCAGTTTTCCTCGTTTTAGTTAACCTTTAGTGTTTGTTAATTTTCCATATAGTTTCCAGTGCCATTTAATTGTAACATTCCACACCTGTTCCCTGTTTTCCCTGAGTCCTCGTGATTGGTTTATTGGTTATGATTCTCGTCTGTCCTGCATTGTATCTTGTTAGCTGTGTATTTAAGTGACTGCTCTGGTTTTGTTCTTTTATGGGTCATTGTAGTTGTGTGTGGTCCCTGTGTTTGTTACTTAACTCTGGTACTCAGTTCTGTTCCCTGTGTTGCTTGGTTCCCCAGTGTATTTGCTTTAAGATTTCTTGTTAGATTCTCATTTCTCCCATTTTTGTTTTGACCCCTTGTGGTCCTTTTTTTTGCCTTCCCTATTGTATTCTATTTAGTTAATAAACCCTTTTTGTCTCCGAGCCGCAAGTGTATTATCACCTTCCCGTTTCATATGCATCATGCCGCACTGCAATGACAGAAAATAATGCCTCATATAAGTATATCTGAAAGTACATGCTATACCACTGTATATGTACAGATGTACATTTTTCTATTTATCTATCACATGTATATATTGTACAGCTGATTCTAGCACTTTTGCAGTATTTTGCACTTTCGGATTGGATGCCAAACTGCATTTTGCTGTATGAGTATTTTATACTTCATCCAATGGCAATTGAGTTGTGTCTAATCTAATCTAATGTACATGGTACAGTTTCCCCTTAACTGATAATAACTGGTAAATGAGCACACTGCCCTAGGTGTAATCCATATTCTCATGTGGACACCCAATTTCTGGCATGCAGAAAATTGCCCAAGGCTGTCCAATAGATCATGACCTTTCTACAAAATAGGTCAGTGGCTTTTTTTCATTTTCATTGGATCACCAGTCTCAGGGTAACAGAGAAAAAGACATCCTGGCTCGGACAGGGTCCAATGATGTAAAAATGCTTGCATTTATTCTTCCCCATTTTTCTGAGCATTTCTATGTGTCTATTTGTTTCCCTGAAATGTTTTTTATCCACACTGTCTGGCTGTGACCTCCTGACATCATCAGCTTCATGCTTGTTGGGGTTGATCCAGCCCTGCACAACACACCTTCCCAAAAACAAGCCCGTATTCAACTGTACATGGTATCAGAACTCATGTGACTGTAACCAACCTTTCAGAGAGAGCTTAAAATCATTTGGAGTTGTATTTTTTTAACCCATATTAATGTACATAAATGTCTAAATTTTGAAAATAGAACACTTTTATCTAATCTGTTTCCAGGATTTACTGAATCACATGTCTGTCTCCTAATAGGGATAATCTACACCATGGACATATTGGACCATGAGATAAAGGACTCCTATTGGCTGACAGTACAGGCCACGGACAGAGGTTTGGTGCCACTGTGCTCTACCGTGGAGGTGTACATTCAGGTGGAGGATGTGAATGACAATGCCCCACTCACCAGTGAGCCCATCTACCGCCCTGCCATCATGGAGAACTCAGCCAAGGGCTTGTCAGTCCTGCAGGTGCAGGCACAAGACTTGGATACCACCACTTCCGTCAGCCACCTCAGCTACCGCATCGCCAGTGGAAATCCCCAGAACTTTTTCACCATCAACCCCAAGACAGGTGCCAGCATTTCCACACAGACCCTCATAAATGAGATTGTAGAGATTTTCCCCTTGTCTTCCTGTAATGGGAAGGTGCAGAGTTAAAGTGCTGTGTTTCTGCTATCTGTCACATTTATCTGTATTTGTATGAATGATTCAATGTGATGTGACTCTTTCTCTGCTGCTTCTTTAGCATGGATTCACCTTGAACTGTCCAAATTATTATTTGTGGTAGATCCAAAGCTTACTAATTAATCCCTGTTGTAGCTTATAAGTGCTTGGAAGTGGTTTATGAATCTATGTGTCCTTCAGGTCTCATAACCACAACCTCCAGGAAGCTGGACAGAGAACAACAGGATGAACACTTTTTAGAGGTGAAGAACACAGACACTGCATCAAACCAGACCTTTGTTGGTTTTCCAGTTAAGGATTTGGTTAGTCCTAGAAAGGAGATGATATGTGTTAAATGTGTTTGTGTGTGGACAGGTGATAGTGTCAGACATGGGACCATCTCCCAGGCATACCCCTGTCTGGGTGATTGTACGTATCCTGGACGAGAATGACAACGAGCCACATTTTCCTGAGAAGCTCTACCAATTGTGGGTCCCAGAGCATGACCGCAGCAGTAGGGGTGAGCCCCTCTGCAGGGTACTTGCCTCGGACCGGGATCTTGGGCTAAATGCTGACCTCTCCTACAGCATTGTGGATGGGAACCAGGACGCCAATTTTGCCATTGACCCCAAGACTGCTACGGTGATGTCCAGGAAGACGATGGCAGCTGGGAGCTCTGCCCTCCTGACTGTGTGTAGCAGTGCCACAAAAGAGCTGAGCAGCTATAGAGCAGATCCCATCCTAGTTCTTCTCATAGTCTTTGACCTTATATTGGATCTTCTTCCAGATCAGAGCTACAGACAATGGGGATCCACCTATGTCATCCACGACTCAACTGTACATGAAGTGGATCAGCAAACCTGTGCCCTCACTGCTGCCCCTGCTGTTCACTGACTTGTACTACAACTTCACCATCCCAGAGAGCACCCAGGTTTTTGAGGTGGTGGGTGTGGTCTCTACACAGCAGAGTGCCACGCCCCTCTGGTTCGACATCAGTGGTAAGGAGTGGAATGTGGTAAAAATTATAGATGGCACAGATCCAATAGCCATAATTCGTATTGGGCTGCAAAAAATACTGAACCAGATATTGGAGGGGTGGGCAATTAGGAAACCAATCTGATTTTCAATCAGAGATAGGTCTAGCCTGAAAAATTGCGAAAATGCCTTAGCCAACATATCGTAAACAGAAGTGAGGGTCATGTGGTGGCTAATTGTTCAGCCACACCTGTGCGTCAGAGCTGTCATGTCAGCAATCTGGTTCCATTAAACGACTCGAGACTATCAGAGCACAGAGTGACTGCTGTTAGCTGAGAGAGAAATAGGCTACTGCTGACGTTCAATAAAACCCAAGCAAACACGCTTTATTTGCCATCTCTCAGGTACATTGGAATGCTTCGCTTCAGCAACCCCATCTTACACTCATAGCTTGGGGGGGTCACAGTACAGGGTCAGCTAATGTACAGCACCCCTGGAACAGGGGTTTAAGGACCTTGTTCAAGGGTCTACAGACATGTGACTGTTCTATCAATGTCAGGCCTCAAACCAGTGATCTTCTGATCATAGGCAAAGACAGCCTGCTGAGCCACTCACCGCCCCATAAAGAATTTAAGTAATGCTTAGTTATGTCAACTGGAGTTTGATTTGGGAACTTTAGGAACTATGGCTGAACATTGTAGAATTGTTATATAAATTGGCTTGGCTTTGTTGCATAATACTCAATGCAGTTGCTCTGTTTAAAGCTGTTTTCGTTATCCAGGCACCTGCTACGAGGTGCTTATTCAGGTTCTGAATTTAATGTCTTGTTGTAGTAACCGAACAGAGTGGTTTGATTTTTATAGCTGTTGAGGAATGTCAGTAGGATCACACAGCAGGCCAACACATGTACTTTACATGCTGTTGAGCTATATTGGATTGCGTGGCCCACACACAATTTCATTTTTGACTACACCAATGGTTAGCTGTTTTTGTGACCGTGGAATCTCAAGTTTCCCAGAGTAACTTTTAGAGTTTTCAATGGCGTTAATGTTACACCTTTAATAATGAACACAGTTAAATTTATACTAACTAGATGTCTTCAGACTTGTATTCTTTCTAAAATTTGATTTGCATATTTTGTACTAGAGACTAGTGTGTACTTTTTCCACCTGAAATTCTGAAGACCTTGTTGAATTCAAACGTTGTATGATGCCACCTTTGCAATCAATCAGTTCATGAATTTTTTTTTCCCTGCTAGATATTCCACAGTCAACTGTAAGTGGCATTATTGCAAAGCGGACGTGTTTATGGACAACAGAAACTCAGGCATGAAGTGGTAGGCCACGTAAAGTAACAGAGCAGGGTCGGCAAGTGCATAAGAGTCATCAACGCTCTGTAGCCTCAATAACTCCAGAGTTCCAAGCTGAACCCCAGCACCAAAACTGTGCATCGGCAGCTTCATGGAATGGGCTTCCATGGCCGAGCAGCTGCATGCAAGCCTCACATCACCAAGTGTAATGCTAAGCGACAGTTGGAGTGCTGTAAAGCACGCTGCCACTGCACTCTGGAGCCACAGAAACATGCTCTGTGGAGTGATGAATCATGCTTCTCTATCTGGCAGTCTGATGGATGAGTCTGTTAGTCGGATGCTAGGACAATGTTACCTGTCTGACTGCATTATGCAAACTTGTTTGGTGGAGGAGGGAATAATAGTGTGTGGTTGTTTTTCAGAGGTTGGGCTGGGACCCATAGTTCCAGTGAAGGGAACAATTAATGACTTAACATACCAAGACATTGTGCACAAAGCAAGGTCTATAAGAACATAGTTTGGTGAGTTTGGTATGGAAGAACTGCATAGAACCCTGACCTCAACCTTGGAATGAACTAGAACAGAGATTGTGAGCCAGGTCTTCATGTCTAACATCAGTGCTTGACCTCACAAATGCTCTTCTGGATGAATGGGCAAACATTTCCACAGACACACTCCAAAATCTTATGCAATGCCTTCACAAAAGAATGGCAGCTGATATAGCTGCAAAGGGGGGACGAGCTCCATATTGATGCCTATGGATTCAGAATGGGAAAAGTTCCTGTAGGTGTATAATGGCCAGGTGTCCTAATCGGATTGATATAGTTATCAGCAGATACTAAAACTTTTAATACCTTTATCAAAACAAAAAAATATATGTTGTGCCATCTCTAGTATTACTTCATACCTTATACAGCCATACCACCTACAGTACAGACTAGGTATTTCATCTGAAGGTAAGCAAGTTTGGGCCCGGCTAGTACTTACATGGGAGATCAACTAGGAAAGCTGGGTGGCTACTGGGAGAGCTGTGGGTGTGGCTAACAGGTTAGCCCACCCTGTAGTCTGTGTGGATCCCAATGCCCCAGTGCAGTGATGGGGACACTGTGCAGTGAAAATGGTGCGGTCCATTGGATGAGATGTAAAACTGAGGCCCTGGCCCCCTCAGGTCATAAAAGATCCCCGGACATTTTCTCTCCTGCCCCTTCACCACCTTAGCTACTGTGTGGTGAGCGTACTGGTGTGGATTGGCTGCCGTCGCATCATCCAGGTGGGGGCTACACAGTGGGGGTGGTTGAAGTGGCTCCCCATTGGTTCTGTAAAGTGCTTGAAAAGAACTCTATATAAATTTAACATTCATTCATTTCTTTTGCGCTTGTGTTTTTCGTTCATTATGTCACTCAAATTACCACTTTTTTTCTATCAATATGTTTTGAGGAAAATTACATTAAAATTTCTGTTCTCATAGAGAAGTATCTATTTTGTAGTTTATAACCCCCCCCTTTGTCATTCTTGCACATCAAGGAGACCAGCTGTCCTGTGAAATGTTCTACATTCCTCAAAAAGCCTGCAGTGCCAACTGTTCTATACAAGGTACCTTGACATACCTCATAGATTTAGTATCATCAATTGAATTCATCTTACTTGAAACCTGTCTTTAACCACACCATAGACATTGCTTTGATTCTTTGGCTGGTGGCCGAACCTGAAGTCTTGCTTCTGTGCTGGTTTTTGTTTGATGACTGCTACTCCATTTTCAGGTGGGGGATACAGTAGCCATTGTGATATTTGTAAAGGGGTGGGGACTGTTATTGTGGCAAAGCCCCTGGATGCTGAGCTGCGGTCCTCCTATGAGGTAACGGTGACTGTCACAGATGGTACCCACACTGCCTCCACTCAGGTATTCCTGCCCATACATAATCGATCCAGAGTAACAATACTGTTAATGATTATTAATGTACATGTTATTTTGTAAACAAAAAAAAAATAGTTCATAAGATATGTCAGAGATTTCCTACTAGTCTACTGTAATGTCTTTATCTCTTCTACCTGTCCTCAGTCTGACTCCTTTTACGTCTCTCTAGCTCTATATCACTGTCCTTGACATCAACGACAACACGCCCACCTTCTCTCAGGCCAGCTATGTCGTCACAGTTTCAGAGGACACTCCTAGTGACACTGAGGTGCTCCAGGTCAGGGCCTCGGACGCAGATGGCAGGAGCAAGCTGAGCTACTCCATACACAGCAGCCTGGATCCGGGCAGTGCATATACGTTCCGGATTGCCCCCGAAACTGGAACCCTCTACACAGCTGACCGACTGGACCAGGAGGCCCAGAGTCAACACATCCTTACAGTCATGGTACGAGAGGCTGGGAAATGTCAGCTGAGGGGAGCATAGCTCTATATATACAGGTCTGCTGCACCTGAATTCCCACATCTGCAGAAAATGACAGGATCGCTTTCTCTGGAACCAGGTCAAGGACCAAGAGTTCCCCTACCGCAGAGACTTAGCCCGCATCCGGGTAGCTGTGGAGGATGCCAATGATCATGCCCCATACTTCACACAAACGGTGTATGAGGGGTCTGTTTTTGAGACGGCCATTGCAGGCACCTATGTTCTCCAGGTCACTGCGCTGGACAGGGACCAAGGGAAGAATGGTGAGCTCCTCTACTCATTGGAAGCAGGTGAGCCCCCCCCCAAAAAAATCATTCAGCATCTTGTTCAGTTGTTAATATTGCTAGAGCATCAAGCACACATCTTCAGTTCTAGCATCATTGTGTTGTTGCCAACCTAAAAGCACCTATTTAAATGGTGATATTTTTAAATAAAGCTTCATCCAACTTTGTTTGTATCTGTTTCAGGAAACTCAGGAAACATGTTCAGGATTGATCCGGTCACAGGTGAACTCTGTGTAATCAAGGAGCTGGACCTGAACTCACTTGGTCAATATGTTATCACTGTCAGAGCTACTGACAAAGGCTCTCCTCCAATGGGAGCAGTGGCCACTGTACGCATCACTGTAGCACTGTCTGACAGCTCCATACCGAGGTTCCTCCATACAGAATACCATGCTGAAATCAGTGAGAACATGCCTGCTGGCTCTTTTGTCATGGCTGTCAGTGCCATGAGCAGATCTGCACCGTCGTATCGAATAAATCGAGAGGGTGAGCCGGGCAGCTTTCGGATCAACCAGTTCACAGGGGTCATCACCACCTTGAAACCTCTAGACTATGAAAGTGTTACTTCCTATGAGCTGATAGTAGAGGCTTATAACATGGCTGGTATGGCCTCCATCACTTCAGTCATCATCCAAGTGGTAGATGCAAATGATAACTCCCCAGTCTTCCAGCACCTGAAGTACAGAGGAAGCATCAGTGAGGCTGCCCCTATCAATAGTGTGGTCCTGAGTGTAGATGATGGGATGCCATTGGTCTTAGCAGCCACAGATGCCGATAAGAACCTGAACTCTCTTCTCATCTTTCAGATAGTTGACAATGTAGCTCAGACATTTTTCACTGTGGATTCAGGTACAGGATCCATACGTAGCATCTCAAATTTGGACCATGAGACTCATTCTGAATTTAACTTCAGCATCATTGTGAGAGACAGTGGTCAACCACAGCTGACAGCACAGAATCTAGCTGAGGTCAGAGTATGGGTGCATAATATTAATGACTCCCCTCCTAAATTTTGCCAGGACACCTATGAGACAGTCCTGCTGCTTCCAACCTGCGTGGCAGCAGAAGTACTGCAGGTATCAGCTGTGGATCCTGACACGTGTGACTCAGCAGGCCTGAGTTTTGCCTTGACGGACAGGAGTCTGGAACATTTTGCTGTCGACCCAGAAAGTGGTATTCTCATGGTGAGAAGCAGTAACTTTTCCAAGGACCGCTATCGCTTCAGTGTGGAAGTTACAGATGGAAAGTTCTACAGCACAGCCCTGGTCACAGTGGTAGTCCGAGAAGCCATGGATGGTGGTCTGGTCTTCCTGCGGCCTCAGTACTCCTACACGGTGGTGGAGAACAGCAACAATGTGACCACAGTTGCCATAGTCAATGTTATGGGAAGCAGACTTAACGAGCCTATCAGGTACCGCTTACTGAATGCAGGGACCCAATTTAAAGTAAGGCCCACTTCTGGAGTTATCCAGACCACAGGCCTTCAGTTTGACCGGGAAGGGCAGGAGATCTACGAGTTGGTTTTAGTGGCTACTCGGGAGAAGAACCATTTACAGGTTGCAACGACAACAGTAAGGATTCAGGTGGAGGATGTCAATGACAACCCACCAGTATTCATAGGCCTGCCGTACTATGCTGCTGTAAGGGTGGATGCAGAGCCAGGATCTCACATAATTCAGATCAATGCCACAGATCAGGACAAAGGGGTCAACAGCCAAGTGTCCTACTACTTAAAGGATGAGTACCAATACTTTGAGGTCAACCCACTGACTGGAGAAATATCTTTAAAAAACCCTTTGCATGTCAATTTGTCCAATGTGGAGTACCAAGTGGTTGTCTTTGCTAAAGATGGAGGAGTCCCAGCCCACGTCACTGCTGTGGAGTTTTCCATCACTGTTGTGAACAAAGCTATGCCAGTGTTTGAGAAGCCTTTCTATCAAATCTCTGTGAGTGAGGATACAGCTATGCATACCCCAATTCTCAGCATAAATGCCGCCAGTCCAGCTTGTGACAAGATCATTTATACCATTGTGGATGGGGATGCCTCTTCACAGTTCAGCATTGGTTATGACACTGGTTTTATTAGCATTGTTTACCCTCTGGACTATGAAGCTAATTCATATTATAGATTGACCGTTAAGGCAACAGATACTGTCTCCGGTGTTGGAGCAGAGGTGGACATAGATATAGCTGTTCTAGATGAGAATGACAACCCCCCTGAATTTGAGAGAAGTTCCTACGAAGCAATTCTGTCTGAAACTTCCATGATTGGAACCACAGCTCTGCAGGTTGTTGCAGTAGACAAGGATTCAGAGAAGAACAATGTTGTGCAATATCAGATAACACCAGAGATGTACAGCAGCACAGATTATTTTCACATTGATAGCATCAGTGGGCTTTTATTCACAGCCCACTTGCTTGATTATGAGCTCATGCAGCAACACAATATTATTGTCAAGGTGACTGACAATGGCTTTCCTCCTCTGAGCAATGAGGTCCTAGTGACTGTCAGTGTTAAAGATGCTAATGATAATCCTCCTATGTTTAGCCAGACACTCTACATGGCTCATGTCAGTGAACTTGCACCCAGAGGCCACTTAGTAACCTGTGTCCAGGCTTCAGATGCAGACCGGTCTGATACCAGCCAGTTAAGATACAGCATCCTGACTGGGAACGAGAAGAACCATTTTGCCATGGATGAGGAGAAGGGGATGATCTGCTTGTCCAGTCAGCGCATGCAGCGAATGCAGCGTCTGTACATCCTGAATGTCTCTGTGTCTGATGGAATCTTTACCAGCATGGCTCAAGTGTACATCTCAGTCCTTGAGGCTAACCTTTATAGCCCTGTCTTCAGTCAAAGGTTCTATCTGACTCAAATTCGGGAAAACGCTGCTGGTGGGACAAGGGTCATCCAACTAAAAGCTACTGATGAAGATTCTGGAAGGTTTGGTCAGATGACATATTGCTTTGTCAATGACTTGGCAAAGGATCAGTTCATTGTGGATGCTACTGGTCAGATTTTGACCGCAAGAAAATTGGACAGGGAGAACCCAGTTAACAAGGACATTGTCCTAAGGGTCATGGTTTTGGACGGTGGAGGTAGAGCCTCCTTCTGTAGTGTCAGGGTGATGCTAATAGATGAAAATGACAACCCCCCACATTTTAAAGCCACAGAGTACAGGGCTAGTGTCAAATACAATGTGGCTACAGGTTTTCCTGTCATTCAGATCCAGGCAGTGGATCCAGATGAGGGCATGAATGGCAAAGTGACCTACTCTCTCTACAGCGAAACCAGAGTTTCTGTGGTCAACATTCTGGAAATTGACACAGACAGTGGTTGGATCATCACAAAAGGAAGCTTCAGCCACCTTCAGGGTGTAGTTCTCTCCTTCTTTGCTAAAGCAGCTGATGGAGGTGTCCCTGTAAAGCACTCCCTGGTGTCTGTCTATATTCATGTTCTTCCTCCTGAGGTACCCATCCCTTCTTTCACACAGCCTCAGTATTCTTACACCGTGCGTGAGGATACGCTTATGGGGATGGTCCTGGGCTCGGTCCACCTTAACCCCAGTCGAAACGTAGTCTTCGGCCTCATCAGTGGGGAGACAATAGACACCAACCGCGGAGGCACGCTGATGGTGGAACGTGACACCGGTGTTATTCGGCTCGTCAAGCCCCTGGACCATGAAGCTGTTGAAGCCTTCCACTTTAAAGTATCGGCAACCATAAAGTTGCCCCAGCTGGAGTCAGTGTCCACCGTGGATGTGGAAGTGAAGGTACTGGACCTGAATGACAATGCGCCTTCTTTTGAGACAGGCTCCTATGAGGCGGTGGTCATGGAGGGCATGCCGATTGGAACTAGAATAATCCAGGTCCGTGCGCTGGATCCAGACTGGGGCTCCAATGGACAGGTCACTTATAGTCTAGTTAATCCACGGGACCCTGAGGTAGACCGGTCTATGAACATGTTCTCTATAGACAGCAAGACAGGCTGGATCACCTCCCTTAGTGACCTGGACTATGAGTTATGTCCATCCTACACATTCACAGTGGTGGCAACTGACCTTGGGGAGACAATCTCCCTGTCTTCCACTGCTTTGGTGACAGTGGCCGTGGTTGATGTTAATGACAACCCTCCCTGCTTTAAAATGGACCACTACAAAGCAGCAGTGATGGAGACTGGCACCCTGGGGGAAGTGGTCGCCGTGCTGGGCACACAGGACAGAGACAGTTCGGACAAAGTGTCCTTACACATTACAGGTGAGACAGGCGTGTATTGGAGAGTTTTGGTGCTCTTTTGATATTAATAGGTTACGTGATTCCCAGTACTCATGCAATTATCAATTTACACTTTTTATATGCAGTTAAGGTTGCAGTGAGACCATGATAGGGAACATAGTGTAGAGACGTAAGTGTGTAACAGGGGATTTGGGGAGAAGGGAACACATGTCCATCCGTTAACTCAGGGGTGTCAAACTCCAGTCCTGGGGGGCCAGATCCCTGCACATTTTTGGGTTTCTCCTCATTTAACACACCTAATTTACCTCCTTGAAACTCCTTGTGCTAATTACCACACAGCTCTTGAGTTCAATCATTTGTGGGGGGAACAGAGAAAGAACTAAGCTTCTCAGGGCTCCGGCCGCCCAGGACTGGAGTTTGACATCCCTGAGTTAACTGTTTACATTAGGGCTGGGCAATAAAATGATAATGATAATTCACAATATAATTTTCCTCAATATCAATACAACAGATTCTCCCTAAAAGTTCTATATAATTTAAGACCAATCATGTCGCCATCACTTAAAATGATGTCACTTTCTCTGTGATGTCCTTGCAGATGTGTGGTGGTGGCAGATTCCTCAATTTTGGAAAAGTGAAATAAAATTGTAAATATTCAGAATTGTCCATACACATCCTTCAGGTCACTTAAAATAAATACTTGAAGAGCAATCTCTTTTCATAAGGGACTCAATTTTATATTCGTAGGCTGCTATATCACCTTTACAACTGCATGCAATATTTGTCATGTTTTATAAACATGCGAGACAAGTCCTTTTCTTCATTAGCTTTTTATTTGACTCTCCAAACTTAATGAATCTGCTTCCATATCTTCCATATACAAAAATAAGCAAATGCATGTTGCATGAACACTCTTGTCAACAGTTAACAGGGTCACCAGTTGCACCATAACATCGGAAATGGAGCACAAGTGCAACACAGACGTGAAAACAAAATGATTTACTGAAATATGAAAATGCAATAGGGCAGGCAGGCAGATGACAGACAAAACAGTTAAAACAACAGGGCAACTAACCAGGAGAGCAGGTAAGTCCAAAGCAACCTGTTCAATAAGGGTAATCCAGAAAAATCTAAAACAAAAGTCCATAATAAAATTCAGTCCATGAGAAATCACGACAGTAATAACCCACAGAACATTAAAAAACGTTAGAAAGAATGTGAGTGTTTTTTTGTACTTACTCAAATAACCTGTTCAACGTCTATTTCAGACTTCTTAAATGTGACATGCTATTTAGTAGTGGTGGCCAAAATGACGTTTCATGAACCATTTGTGAAATTGTTTTGACCGCGCTACATTGTATTTTTGGCTTTGCTCTGAGCCCTTTTTTGAAACGAGAGCACCATCTAGTGGAGTTAGAAAATAGAGAAAATGGTTCCAAAAGCCTCATTTTGTCCATCACTGCTGTTTGGCAAGTGTTTGTCACATTCTGACGATAAAGCATTCTTCATAATTACAATTAACCATTTGCCATCTTATTGACTCAGGAGCAAATATCAGCCTTTAAACTGGAAAGAAATTATGACTTGACATTTATGTGATTATTATCAACATCAACTGATATTAAAAAAAATTCTCATGGTAACATTTTTGGCTATATCGCCAAGCTGTAGTTTTCATTGCTCAACATTATACTGAAGTATTTCAGGGAGAGTATAATTTACATTTGCGTTTATTTAAGAGACTGTTTTGTCCAAAGTCGCATACAGTGAGGCTAATAAAGCATCAAAAGCATAAAGCTGTTATGGAGCCAACAAGGTGTAAGACCAGCTGGGCTGAGCTTCCAATGAATGATCAGTAGTTAGTGCAAGTTAACATCAGAGAAAGAGCCATGGAATATATAACACAACGTCATAAAAACAGAAGAGTTATTCAAATCACATACCATGAGGACTGGTACCATGGCATCCATCCAGTGTGTTTGCATACTTATTGTTTCTGCATTTACCTCAGGGGGGAATCCTGGAGGAGCCTTTGCTCTTGAACTTGTTCAGGATCAGTGGAAAATGTATCTGAATCAACTCTTGGACCGCGAAGAGCAGGAGCAGTACTTTATTAATGTCACGGCTTCTGACGGGCTCTTCATGAGCCAAGCAGCAGTGGAAATCACGGTCATGGACAGTAATGACAACAGTCCCGTATGTGACCAGGTGAGGAAATGTGCTTCAGGAAACCTTTCCTTAGCACTGACTGTTTCATGTCTGAAATTGGGCTGCTGCTCCCATAATGATATACAGTATAGCAAGGCTATAACACAGGGGTAGGCAATCCTAGAGTCCTGATCCTAGACTGCCGCTATCCAGGAGGTTTTCTATCCTACCTGATGAGTTACTATCTTCCTGAAATCAGGTGTGGCTCATCAGAGACCAGGTAGGATAGAAAACCTGCTGGATACTGGGACCTCAGGGTTAAGGTTGCCTACCCCTACTATAACAAATCAGTTTGATTTATTGATTACTCATTGTGTTTCTTGGTCCCATGTCCTTATACCAGACCATATATTCAGCCTCCATCTCAGAGGATGTTCCTCTCAACACTGTGCTCCTAACAGTAGGAGCCACAGATGCAGACTTGGGCGAGAACTCTGAGATTCAGTACTCACTGTTTGGCATTGGGGTGGAGGACTTCTATATGGATGCCAATACTGGTAGATGCATAACCATTTGTTCAGTGTTGCTGTGTGTTGTGTTGTGTGTGTATGAGTTTGTCTATGTTCATTTCTTCTGTCTGTCAGGTGATGTGAAAACAGCCTCAGTCATCAACCGCGAGAGGATCCCAAGGTACATGTTTGTTGCCCAGGCGACAGACGGCAGGGGGCGTTTCTGCCGTGCAAAGGTCCTTCTGACAATCTTGGACGTGAATGACAATGCACCCACCTTCCCCAATGCACGCTACACAACCAGCGTTTACGAGAGTGCTACACCCAAAGCTCTGCTGACACGCCTGCAGGCCCTCGACCCCGATGAAGGTCAGAAACCAGCCTTGTGTCTTGACTCTTGCACCAGCAGCTAACTCAAGCTACACAACATGAGCCAAAGCAGCAGGAGTCCACTTCACTGTTCCTTATTTTTCTCAAACTTCATCTTTTACCTCAAAACATTTTTTACTCTCTACTACCTGTGAGCACCTTTATGTTCTTCTATTTATGCTTCTTTTTTTTCAGTCACCTTGAGGAATTCTGCTCCAAGCCTATTTCTCATGCTGTTACTAATTGTTTCAGGTCTACTTGTAATTTTCTTTTGTATTGCATGTTAGCAGTTTGAGGTGCCTATTGGGGAGAATGTGGAAAGTCATCACTGAACCATCATCATCTTTTACACTGGCTCTGTTTCTGCTCTCTTTTCAGGCAGCAGTCGGAAGGTGATATACTCCTTACAGAACTCAGCAGGAGGCGTATTTTCAGTTGATGAGTCCACAGGGATTGTGGTCCTCGAGAAAGTGCTGGACCGTGAGCTGCGGTCATCCTACACTGTCACTGTCCAGGCTTCAGATGGAGTGCTCCACTCTACAGCTGACCTTGACATCTTGGTTTTAGACGTGAATGACAACCCGCCTGTGTTCCAGGGAAGCAATTACTCAGCCTCTGTGCCCGAGGATGTCACTCTGGGAACAGAAGTCCTGCGCGTCTACGCCACCAGCGCAGATGCGGGCACTAATGCTGAGATCTGCTACAGTATCCGGTCTGGCAATGAGCTCCAGAAGTTCCAGATTGCAGGAGCAGCAGGTATGACTATTGGATAATGTGCTATTTTCAGAAATAGTCAAACAAACATATAGGAGACAGAACACTAATAATCTTTAAATAAAAATTTGTAATTACATGCACCACAAATCAAGTATATCTTTTACTCAGGTACCATCTCCATCTCTGAGGCTCTCGACTACGAGGTGTGTAGATGCTACCTCCTGGTTGTTGAAGCCTGGGATGGTGGCCTTCCACCCCTAAGTGCTGTTACTATGGTAACTATCAGTGTAACAGATGTGAATGACAATGCTCCAAGGTTTAGCCGAGACCTATATAACACCATCATCCCCGAGGATGCTAGAATTGGACAGTCCGTCATCAAGGTGCTCCATCTTATTCTCCATTATATTATTATTTTTGTCTGCTATCATTGGAAAGCTGCCTGATTATTGCAGAAGTGAAAGGAACACCTTTGTCATGTTGGAGCTCAGAAACATCCCTTGCTACTTGCCCTGTGTAGCTACAAGCAGAGGATGTGGACAGTGAGGGAAATGGGCAGATCATGTACTTCATCGTGAATGGGGATGACAGAAATCAGTTCTCCATTGAGCTGAATATGGGACTAGTGAAGGTCAACAAACCGCTGGACAGGGAGAAGGTAAGAGATGGTCCACAGGCGGGGTGTAACCAGATGATTGTATGGGGTGTGGCATGTCATGCAGACTGGCAGACATTTGGGTCTGGAGGAAAAGACCACATGTTGCTCTAATGAAGAAAATAAAGTCAGGAGGGATGGTTTATGGATAACTGGGGAAGTAAAGAAATGGAGATGAAAATTATGGGACTGGCGTCAACACTGGGCTTAGTGTTACCTATATACACACAGCTGGAAACAAGGGCAATGGACCTTATCGATTGATACAGTCATTACTACCGCTTCCCTTTAAGACACAACAGCCAACAGTAGTATATTCCAAGAGTGACTTTTTTGGCATTGTGTTTTGATCTTAACACTCTTTTAACTTGGCTCCTCTCCAAGGTGTCCAGATATTCCCTAACTGTCCAGGCTCTGGACAAGGGATCTCCTGCTCTATCATCTGCAGTCACAGTTAGCATTGACATCTCTGACATCAATGACAATCCACCCCTCATTTTACCAGTTAATGCCAGCATTGTGGTTCAGGTAAGCGCCTACATTTCTGCAATCAGTTATCTTTCGTAGTTCTTTCATGTGACTGGGCCTTGTGGGCAGTGATTGGCTTTATGATTCACTGTAGGGGTGACAGAAGCAAAATCTACATTTGGTTTCCTGTGCTTATTGTAAACACAGACCGATGAACCCTTGGGCAGCAACGTTCTGCAGCTATCTGTCACAGACAATGACACAGTGCTGCATGGCCCACCTTACGAGTTCAACATCATCTCCGGGAATGAGGGGGAAGCGTTTGTCCTCGACCAGGAAGGGCTGCTCCGGACCAACCGTTTCTTTGTGCAGGAAGTAGAGAGTGAATACCACATCCAAGTACAGGTGAGGTCCATTTTCATCAAAGGTGGAGTTACTCTCTATGACAGTGATTCATACCGCTTCACAGGAACTTTGAATACTCCATTGATCTAGATCACTTCGATGGACTCCATCTCCAGTCCCCTCTTTGATTTTGTATAACTAATTAAGGAACTAATACTATCCCTGCTGTTTTCTATCATTTCCTTTATTTCCCAAAGGTCCGAGATTCTGGAAGGCCCCGCCTGTCATCCTCCACCTTTGTCTTTGTCCGTATTGTCGAGGATAACCTCCATAGGCCTGAAGCCTTTCCTCTGGAAGTTTACATCATCACTGCTGGGGGTGAGTTCCCAGGTGGTGTCGTAGGCCAGATTCATGCCATGGACTATGATGGGGATGCTGCATTATCCTTTAGCCACTGGTCCCGGCAGAGGACCTTGTTTCGGATCAACAGGCAGGACGGGCGGATCGTGGCTCTGACTGGCTTGCGGCCCGGTAGGTACCGACTGAACGCCACGGTTAGCGATGGCCGCTATGCCGTCGCAGTGAAAGTCTCTGTGCTGGTAGAAGAAGCTGCCGACCAAGCCTTGTGGGAAGCCATTGTCGTGCGCTTTGAGGGTGTTGCTCCTGAGAACTTCGTGCAGCTATACCTGAGCAGCTTCAGGAACGCTCTGATAAGCCTCGTGGGCACCCCCTGCAGAGTTCTTGGTATCCAGCCAGTGCCCGGCTCGCATGGCCAACTGGATGTACTCTTGGCTGCAGAGGCTAAGGGTGGGGGCTTCCTCCCGGCCTCTGAACTGGCCCGGATGATCACTGTCTCGAGGAAGCAGCTGGAGGGTGCACTAAGGATCTCGACCATTCTGGAGCAGGGCTGCCCCGAGGTGCAGTGTGGGGAGCAGTGGTGTGAGTCAGGACTCATGCTTGACCCCGGGGTCACAGTGACCTACAGCATGCCAAAAGCCAGCTTTGTGTCACCACATTTCAGCTGCTCATGCACCCGTGAGTATGTCACATAAGACTCATCACTCACTAGCCCATTCCAGACTGGCCATCTTTATTTGTGTACTTTAAATTCAACTACTATGGTTTTGGCGAACACTAATCATTGAGTCTCAGCATCTTGTCAGTGAGTGTGAAACTTGATTGTTCTTCATCTTGGTTATTATACAAAGCCCCTCTGCCCTGTCTCCCCCTCCCCCTGACTGCAGCACTGGGTGGCACTTGCCACACCCATCCAAAGTACTGCCAGGTGCAGCTGTGCCCGGCTGACATGCAGTGCATAAACACCCAGAGCCCAGGAGCATCACATGCCTGCCAGTGTCCTGTACCCAGGCCGGGGGAGTGTGCAGGTCAGGGAACTGGAGGCTGCTGGTCCAGTACCAACCCAGTGATAACCAGAATATACAGCAGAACATTATGGAGCAGAAGTGCTAACGGGAATGCTTGTGTGTGTGTGTGTGTGTGTGTGTTGTGTCTCCTCTCAGGTGTGTCCACTCTGAGCTTCATGGGGAACAGTTACATCGAATACCGCATGCACGAGAAACTCATAGCCAGTGGGTTCAAACTGGACCTCATAATAAGAACATTTCAGAGCCAGGGAATTATCATGTACATGAACTCTGATCCCTGCACTCTACTAAAGGTGAGACCGACATTCACACACACACACACACACACACACACACACACACACACACACACATACACATCTAAGACTCATGTGATCACAGGATACCTTTAAGAGAACAGGAAGCTAATGGTGACTTTCTGATGGCACTGTTCGAAGAAGAAGATCAGCAGTGAAGACTACCTGAAATCAAAACAAAGAAGGCCTTTTAAGCTGCCTACTGTAGGCTGTTCTTTCATATTTTTCTCACACAGGTAGTCTTCACTTAGGTATTACACATCTAGGATGGGCAAGGTGGTCTACACTTAATTACTACATATCCAGGATGGTGGGATCTGTAATGTTCCTTATGTTCTTACCTTACCTTTCCTGTCTCTGCTCGGCCACCAGGTGAACCGCAGTGAGCTGTGGTTCCAGGGGGACTGTAAGAACCACCAGGAGGGTCTGAGTGTCCCAGGTTGGCCCGTTAATGATGGCAGATGGCACACTGTATCCTTGGAGATAAGTGGGGATGTGACCACACTAACACTGGACAGTCGATATGTGGAGCGAAGTTCACGTGGCCTGTCCTCCCGCCCCTGGGCACCAGGGGGCAGTGCTAGCCTCGTGTTTGGGGCCCGCCTGATCTCTCCTGACTGGAAGCGGGGCAGCGGTACGCAGGTACTGGATGGGCTTCAGGGCTGCCTGGACTCTGTGGTTCTCAATGGGCACGAGATGCCGCTGCTGAACGAGCAAGGCCACCATGTGGAGGTGACAGCATTTGCACAGGTCAGACCTGGATGTTTGCTGACCTCTGACCCCTGTCAGGCAGAGCCCTGTCAGAATGGTGGCAGCTGCTCGAACCTGCCCTCTGGTGGTGAGTCATGGCACTGTACTGATCAGCATATGTTGAAAATAGTGAGAACATTTGTGTATAATGTGTATCACTTGCAATTTACCATTCGGATTACATTTGCAATGACTGAGAATCCATCATTTTTGGTAAGTTCTAAGTCAGATCACATACTCCTATTCAGAATTTCAGTGCAGCTGTCCCTCCCCATACACTGGGGGGCACTGTGAGGTGGAGATCACAGTCTGCAACCCCAGTTCCTGTCATAATGGAGCTTCCTGCCAACCAGCTGGGGAGAAGCTTCGTTGTCACTGTCAAGGGGGAGAGGCCAAGCCAAAGTGAGTCCACACTGACACCGTTTTCTCAAGGGGTTACTGGAGTAGGAGATTAAGCGTTTATTAATGTCGCTACAGAACAGTGCAACATAAAAGCCAGTATTTCATATAATCGGAGAGAAAAAGACAAGAGAACGGCAACAATGTTACTTATTTAAGCATTATATTTGTATTTTTGTGGAATGTAAACCTTTTCAATTGGCATGTCATTTTTGTATATGACTTACCACTGATTAACTTTATGACTGTACCGAGAATGAAAATACATGAGCACGGCTGAGCCGCGTCTCGTGCTGCCCAGAGTGTATGACAGTCTCCGCCACAACTGCCGGTTGCGCAACCGTTCCCACGAGACTCTCATTCATGCATCTTGTGCTCAGGCTACTGTTCACAGCTCACAGTACAGCGTACATTTCTATCTTAGTGTCTTAGTAGCTTAAATGGTGATAAAAAAGGTTAGAACAATAATGAACTAAGAAAATGGTGATAGAAAGGAAACACCAAACAATATGACTTAAAGATGATATAATTTTGTTATACAGGATATGATACAAATGATAATTTTTGCATATGAAATAAAGGGCTGGCTTATGACCAAATTGACCTACGACCAGTCAGTAGGAATTTAAGCTGTGCTTCTGATTTAGGGCTGCATTTCTGTAGCTGAATCCACTTCCATTTTTGAGTGACGATAGAAAAGTCCCTTGTGATATGTCAGACTGCCCCAGGCTGCAAACCGATAAAGCTTCCAGCTTGACTGGGAACGTTCCCTTTTCTGGATGCCATATTAAGCAGAACAATTATTAACAGCATAGGGAATGTCTTTAGCAAGACAAACGATGTCACACCTCCTGGTTCTGGTCCAGAAGGTCTTGTATTTTTACGTAATGTAACGAAGCAGCCAGGGTCAAACATGAAATCTGATTTCAACACACGGCAGTGTCTGAGGAGCATTCCAGAAGTATGCAGCAAACTGTTCCAGGCTGAGAACATTTCCACACGTGGGCGCGGCTTCTTCCCGGACAGGTGTGAGGGGGGCGCATGCGCCGTGGAGGTGTGCGTGAACGGTGCCGTGTGTCACTGTGGCTGCACGCCGGGCCTTGGCGGCGGCTGCGGTACACCGGGTGCCCCAAGTTCCCCGGGCCTGGATACGCAGGTGGAGCAGTTCCCTTACCTGGGCCATGACGAGCTGATCGGCATGGCAGCCATGCTCTGCTTCACCTTCATCTTCGTCGCGCTGCTCGTCACTTTCCGCCGGAGGAGGATCTCCGCTTGCCCTCCATCCTGCCCTCCGCGGGATGAGCCCCCACCTCCCCCGCCCACCATTCTTCATCCAGCCCCGGCTCTTTTGCATGATTCCGATTGGATGCAGGCTGACAACTTATACTTTGGCACCATGCAGCCCTTTGACGCCTGCACTCTGTGCCTAGAGCTAAAGGACCCGTCCCAGGTTGGGGTCCAGCCCCTTCCCCACTCTGGCCCCTGGCTCCATAACGTGTCACCGGGGATCCCAAATGAATCGGTGAGCATGTGGGCGGACACATCCCTCCCCTTCACTGACCCGCGGGGATTGGCTGTGTGCAGAGTGACCCCCCTCTCCCTAGGCCAATCCAACAGCAGCGCTCTCCTTGGGGGAATGTTGAATGGAGGAGACGGCATGGAGCAAGATGTTTACCAGGAATGGACCGGCCCCCGAGACAGAGATATGGGTAAGGACAGGGGGACAGAAAAGGGGATAGAGTTAGAAGAAGAGCATGTAAGAGTCACTGCGAGACTGAAGCAGCGTGTGGGATCATATTTATTGTAGGTTATATTGCATGATTACTCCAGCCTACACTGAATGGAATTTCCTCAGGGAAAATTTTCTTTCTTCCCTCCTTACACTCGGGTCTTGCCATTAGGTAGCATGGAGGGTATCGCTGATGGCCAGTCTCTCAACTCCTACCTGACTGAGTGCTGCAGTGACGATGGTAAAGCCATGCAGTGCATGTCACTGTGTGTCAGCGTGTGTTTATGTACAGCTGTCTTTGAGGAAAGACATGTGATTGGTTCGTCCCTCCTCTAGTGGTTTTGACTCACCTCCTTTCCAATCTGATTGGTTATCTCTATGAACCAATCATTTATTGTTCTGCCTTCAGAACATTTTAGTGTAAGAAAAACTCTCAGGAGCAATCAGCACATGGTCACATTATATGACTAATCATACTTAGCCTGGTAAAAACTGTGAAGAAACCCCACGCACAGAGAACCATGAAGTGATGTTAGTGATCATCAAATCCTCTGCTGACGTGAATGTTTTACCAGCTGAGGGACTAGATGATGTTTGTGGCTCCTTGCAGACCTGCCATGACCTTTGATCTCACACACGTCTTACTCATAGCTCACTACTGCCAGCTGAAGGCTCTGTGCTTATAGGACACCCAATCATGAATAAGGATGTCCCGTTTTCCCCAGCTTACCGATGGGACACAGCAGAAGGTCCACTGGATGTGAAGGACATCCCGGGATGCGAAGCAGGAGGATCTTCTCTGGCGTCCTCTTATGACTGGGACGGCTATCTGGATGAGTTTGACAGAGAGAGTGACACTGACCCTCATTCCACATGCGGCTCCTGCCTGCCACCCTCATCACCCTCCCCGGGGGATCCCGCCAGCCCTGGTGTATATGACACGTTGCCAGCCGTGCCTTCATTCAGAAGGGCATGGAGTACGTGGGGGTACCAGGAAGACGTTCTGGCTTCGGCACCTGCGGAGGTGGGGTCAGAGCACTGCAGCGGCTCCCTTTCTCCGGGTCGCCTAGCGACCAGACGCTCTGCATCTTTCTCCCCGCTCCACACAGGCCATGTGGCTATTCCCAAGCCGGGGAGGGCAGGTGGGCAACAGGCTGGGACGGGAGGGGTCGCCTTCCCCATCTAACCTCCTGGCAGCTACTCACCAACACGCAGATGTGAAGAACATCAGCAATGGAGATCCAAGAGCTTCTCCGAGGCTGAGGGCTGCACCCATGACCTGTACCCGCTAATGCCAGCCCTGCTCGCATGATATTATTAGCGGAGCGCTCTCCATATTCTTGTCCTTATCTGTAATTTAATGGTCTTAGTCTGAATGTTCTCTTTATTTATTTCTCTTTATTATCGATTAGCAATAGACAGTCCATTGTAAAAATACATACACTATATATTTATTTGAATGTGTAATGTTCCTACCAAGGAAGAGCTTATTAAAAGTTCTGTCGTGTGTGTCACCTGCAACGGTCAGTAACACTGATACTACAGAACGGCTCTGCATCCTGCCCTGTGCTTCAGGGCGCTTTTACACAGTGCCAAATACTGAACTTTTGGTACTAAAAATTTGGTAGTTCCCTTTTTCCATTGATTTTTGGTCCAGTACCAGCACTGAACTAGCAAAGCAGCTGTTGACCGGTTATGCAGACATCCTGTCTCGTAAACACAAAATACACCCACTGCCCTGAAAAAGCGTAGTTATTACTGGTTTACAAATACTGTCTATGTAAAGCCTCTAGGGGGCGCTGCCATTTAAAGGCACCAGTACTATGAGTATAAATATGGCTGTTCCTCAGCCCACCACTTGGCCACTATGGTGAGCCGGGGGGGCTCTGGGTGTTAGACGACCACCGCTACAGACCCCCCAGTACAGCGGCACCACAGCCAGTATTTAAATGCCTACTACTGTGACCTTTGGCCAGCTGAGCAGCAATTGGCATCACTTCAACACCCCCTTCGGAAGGAAAGCCTATTGTCCTCAATGCCTTTCGTATAAACAACCCCCCCTCCCCCATATTCACACCATCGATTCAAGAGTAGGGAGCAACCGAGAGGGAAATGAAGGACAAGCAGTACTTCCTTATACATAGCACTACATTTGCAATGTAATTGGAAATTATAAAACATTGCAAATAATTATTTAGTCTTAACTTTTTATCATTGCATTGTTTTTCCATTTCATTTATTGGTGTACTGTGTATTTTTTTTTTTATCTCTCTGAACCACATTTTCTTTGTTCACACTATGTGTACTGTCTAATTTACCCTGCTTACCTCTGTATAGCAATATATGTATGTTCATCTATGCACTGTGCTCTTGCTGCAGTATGCACCATAATTTACCCGTGATCAATAAAATTAATCTCAATCGACACTTATCCAAATCAATGTACATTTTGAGAAATTGTGGTCAGACGATCCCTGGAGGAATTGAAGGTTACGTGCCTTAATTCGAGACCCCTGTTGCCGACAAATTACTCAGCCACAATGTTAAAGAACAAACATTCATCCAGGTAACTGACTTTATTCAAGGATCAGACATATGGGCCTAGTGAGGCACACAGTGGGGATGAAGGCTCCACGGACACTCAGTCAGCCATTCCCACTGGGCAGCATTGGGAGAGCTGGAAGAGAAGAGCAGTTTACCAAGGGTGAAACTAAACTGTCTGGACACGGATTAATTCCTTGGCTACACACAGTTCTGAGCTCAGTTCAAGTGTAGAAGGCATCATTTTGAGATATACTTCAGACAGAAAGAATTTTCATCATAGCTCAGAGTAGAAAGCCGATAGCACACGCACATACATACATACACACATACATACACACATACATACACACATACATACACACATACATACATACATACATACATACGCACGCGCGCACACACACACACACACACACACACACAAACAAACAAACAAACACAGCTTCTCTGCGGTAATCACGAACGCCGCGGACAAAGCGACGGACGCTCAGATTTGGCTAACACTCATCACTGACCCATCCGCTGAAGGGAGGATCTCAGAGGGAAAGGCGACATTTTCAGCTGCGCACTCCAATAAAGCATTCTTATTTCCACACACTAACCTGGCAGCCCACGTGTCCGAACACAGGAGCCAGCGCAGGAAGGGAAAGTAACGACGCCTGCAGATTGTCGAGAACTATTTCGCCAAAGCTCTGTTCGCTGCGGTATTTTTGCTAAACTACGCAGACACCGTTAGTTCGTGCTTTTCGTTTATTTCTTCTTCTTCTGGTGGTTATTAAAGGCAGGCAACCAACACTAGTTCATCTCTTCTCAAACTGTGTCGCTTTTAAAACCAGAACATTTAGCCTCTTCCGGAGCGTCCTCACGCACTCCGCCCGCCCGGAAATTGCGTCACCACGTTAGAAAGCGAATAAGCCCTATTGGGAAGAAATATAGTAAAAATAAACCCCAGTATTCTGATCTGTATGGTTGAACACTGTATAAACAGCGAGCTATAGAGCTCGATACTGCTGCGTGTGGGATTCCAACATCACGTACATACGTCGAAATGTATAGTGATTATAGCTGGTTAGTTTTCGCGTGGAAAAAAACGCCTGGAAGATGCCTGGATGTTTACTGAAACCTTTTAGATCTGTGCTCCTAGGAAACAGATAGTGGGTCAAAAACCGCGCAACATTCTGGCAGAAATGCACGGATTTCTGTACTCACTACATCGTTTCTGACGTCAAGCTTCAAGTAAATCTCCACTAGATGGCGCTTTGTGTTGATGTATCCATGAAGCAGGGTGTATCTCTAGCATGGTGAAGCATAGTGCTGACATAGCCCTGCTTTGGTGATGTTCTCTTTTTCTATTATCGTGCACAAAGTAACAGTGCCTTTGCATTCTTCGGGATTGCTGTATGGAGACTGAGGTTAAGAATGTACCCTTATACCCTGCTGATTATCCGATCTTAACATGCATCATGTACCTTACATGTTCACATCTTATTGTCCAGTTTTTTTTTTTTTTTTTTGGGGGGGGGGGGCAGGAGTCTCTCCCATTCACCTTTAGGCAGAAGGTGTGGGGACAGCCTAGTTGGGATGCCAGTCTATCAACGGGGACATGCTGAATTACAAACAGAATTACAAACTACAAAATCAATACCTGCTTACTGACACATTGTTCTTGTAATTCCTGTTGTTGAGATCCCACGTAATCAATAGGAAGTCTGACATTATACTCTCTGACTCTGTAAGCACTTAGCTGATGTGCTGGTCTTGTTTGGCCTTGATCTCATTGGCTTGATTTCCAAACAGATACTCTTACTTGATGAATTGGAAGGGACTGGTAGATGACGCGTTTTCACACTTTTGTTCTGCTCTTAGCTGAGGTCCTTGGATAATTTAACTTTGACGGTAGTTTTTCTGATTTGTGAGAGAGGAATCATATGTATGTAAATAACTGAAAAATATTTGTGCCCATGTGTCTATGGTATGCATTTTTGAGGAAGAACTGTTATGTTCTACTTTGATAATTGTAAGTTAGCGTTTAAATGAAAATATTTAGTTAAAAATAACTTTTCAAATTGCTTCACATGCATTTTAAGGTGCTTGAGTAATGGAAAATGAGAAATGGTTTAAAGGCTTGTTTAAATACTTACTTCTCCTTTGATGTAAATGTTATAACTTCTCTTACTTTCCCCCAGCTCACTGCCGCCAGTAAAATAATTCTATTCGTTGACAGTATAAACCCAGAGAAAATTACAGTGAAGAGTCATATGAGGGAATTCTTCTGTGGCACCTCATCTCTCCTTGCCAGATGAGGTTTCATGGAGTACAAGGAACCTAAATTGTATTCAGGACGGTGCCTCTTTAGTAGATTAGTGGCAGCATGAATTTGAAATGAGGCTGGTTTGGAATGATAAGGTTCACTTACCACAGTCATAGACACAAATACATGTAGGTTTATTTGAGTGGGTTCTAGAGATGAGGGACCACAGAAGAATTTGCAGTTTTTATGGTTTTGAACGTAGGAGGCAATTCTGTAATTGCAGCTGTAGAGATTAGTGATTCCATTACTGTGTTTGTGTAGATGACTGATACTGCGGAACTGGCGGCATGACTGTATTTTCTCATGCGTTTTGTATTTTGTGCAATTTATAGCATCCATGAATATCTGCAGACTGAAGCTTTTTTTCTGGCTGACAGTTAAATTAGTTTTATTCATAAGAGCACTTCTTCATAATGTGTGTGTGTGTGTGTGTGTGTGTGTGTGTGTATGTCTGCCTGTCTGTCTTGTGATAGACTGGCATCCCGTCCAGTTTCCCCTGCCTTGCAACAGACCCCATGATTCCCAAAAGCATGAACTGGATTAGTGGATGGAAGATTGATGGATGGTCTCCCTTTGAGTAATATCAAAACCTGACATGAAAGTTAATGTTAAACACCAGGGGGCAGTATTCCACCAATCAGCTCTGACTGAGTCATAAATGCCCTGTGTGACAGTGGAGGACAATATGGTGTAGGCTCTGTGTGGCAGCAGAGAGTAGTATGCTCAGGACTACCCCCTAGCAGGGTACTATGTGCCCCGCAGCCAGAGGAGCAGGGTAAGTGAGGGACAGGCTTCCTGAAGCCCCCATTTCACATGCTGGGTTACCTGCCCACTCCCGCCTCTCCCACTCGCAGTGATCCCTCACTGGGAAACATCTGTCTGAGAGTCATGATATGATACTCACACTGGAAGCAATTTATTATGGTATAATGGTGAGAGAAAGGCCCTGGGAGGTGGTCACTGCCACCCTCCCCCCTCTCCCACTGATCCACTGTCAACAGCCAATCCCTCTTCTCCTAACCAGCGTACATCACCCCCCCCCCCAACCAGCATCGATCATCCTAGTGCATCAGCATCCCCCCACCAGCCTATATCTTCGCATCAGCATCCCCTTAGAATTTACAATCCTTCCTCCTGGGCTCCTCATCAGCTTTGAGGAGCCTGCATTTCCCCTGGGCTCCTCCTCAGGTTTGAGAAGCCTGCCTCTCCCCTGGGCTCCTCCATAGCTTTGAGGAGCCTGCCTTTCCCTTGGCTCCTCCTCAGCTTTGAGGAGCCTGCCTTTCCCCTGGACTCCTCCACAGCTTTGAGGAGCCTGCNTTGAGGAGCCTGCCTTTCCCCTGGACTCCTCCACAGCTTTGAGGAGCCTGCATTTCCCTTGGCTCCTCCACAGCTTTGAGGAGCCTGCCTTTCCCTTGGGCTCCTCCACAGCTTTGATGAGCCTGCGTTTTCCCTGGGCACCTCCTCAGCTTTGAGGAGCCTGCCTTTCCCCTTGGCTCCTCCTCAGCTTTGAGGAGCCTGCCTTTCCCCTGGGCTCCTCCACAGCTTTGCAGAGCCTGCCTTTTCCCTGGGCTCCTCCTCAGCTTTGAGGAGCCTGCCTTTCTCCTGGGCTCCTCCTCAGCTTTGAGGAGCCTGCCTTTTCCCTGGGCTCCTCCTCAGCTTTGAGGAACCTGCCTTTCCCCTGGGCTCCTCCACAGCTTTGCAGAGCCTGCCTTTTCCCTGGGCTCCTCCTCAGCTTTGAGGAACCTGCCTGTCCCCTGGGCTCCTCCTCAGCTTTGAGGAGCTTGCCTTTCCCCATGGCTCCTCCTCAGCTATGAGGAGCCTGCCTTTCCCCTGTGCTCCTCCACAGCTTTGAGGAACCTCCCTTCCTCCCAGGCTCCCACTTGGAGCCTCCTTTTCTCCTGGCTTCCTTCTGAGGAAACGGGGACCAAAAAAGAAGCAGATATGGCTGGAAAGTTCCAGAAAGAAACAGCTGGCATCCTTGTATCTCCGCCCCCAGATTTACATGCAGCGTCCATCACATTCTCATGCCGTCGTTCCTGTCAGCTGGGGTAACAGCACGCTGTCGTCTGTGTTTACGTCACAACCGGGGGCTGTGTGACCAGGGACTCTGCATGGATTCCCGGAGACAGGCCAATCATGGGAACCCTGGCCCACAGCTAATGTAGCAGCCTCAACAAGGTCACATGATGATGGACGAACGGTATGTTTCTGCATGAGTGTGACTGCATTTAGGTGTGTGTTTACAGTAACTTCATGTTTGTCAATGTGTGCGTGTGCCTTTGCTGCGACTGTTTGTGTGTGTGAGTATGTTTACGTGCCTGTTGTCAGCATGTAATATCAGCATGTTGGAAAATGCAGCAAACCAATCAAAGAAAGAGTGTCCCGCAGGCTAAAGCAATCAAAGATGGTGACAGTCAGGCACAGAGTGACAGTAGGACACACAGTGACACTCAGATACAGTGCCTTCCTTCTCCTCCTCTTCCTCTTAGCCACTTGTTCTTTCCAGTCTGACAGGCAGTCATGCACATTTAATCTCCTAAGATGCTCCTGCTTATCGCATCAGGCTGCACTTGTTTTTTCATCTCATACATGCAGTGCAAATTGACTTTTTATATTGACAGTATATTAGTGCCCAGGTTTTTTCAGGAATGTCCAGATGACAGATCACAGCACAAAATGTGGGCCTCTACTGTCTGAGAAACGAAAGCAGACAGTAACAAAGGAGGAGCATAGGCCCATGTCCGCCACCACGGCCCAATTTATGAATCCCGTTTGGCATCAAGCTCCGGGTTCAGCTGCTGTTGCTGTTGCCATGGAGATGGTTGCTGATGGTTGTGTGGCTTGCTGGATGAACAGGCTGTTTGTGTCGCTGAGAAGCAGTGAGGCAGGGTCTTGGGGACAGGGGACACTCCTTCAGATGGGCCAGGCTGATCCAAGCAGAGCCGCTGCTAACCCATGTGCCCAGCTGGGAGAGCTGCTGCAAAGAGCAGCCAACCTTGGGGACAGGAACAGGAAGTGAGGTGGCGCTCTCAACACAACCAGGAAGTAAACCCTCTATGGGAGTGAGGCCTTGTGAGCGTTATTGCTTTGTTACTCTAATTATTCATGTGGTTCTTGTACTCTGTATGGCAGCCTTCTCATCCTCCCCTCCTTCATCCTCCCTCACTTGCTCCTCCCCCTCTTCCTTCTCCTCCTCTCCCCCTTCTCCTCTTCCTCCCATGTATGCTGAGAGATACGTAAGAATAGACCTTCAAACGTAATCAGCACACCGCCGTAGCAAGCGCGGCGCTGAGGCAGAGTGAGAAAATCCGCTTGTGACTCAGATGGCACAAGGTGGCTCGAGGCCATTTCTATTCGTGCCGGCGTCTGGGAGGCACGGCGGCTGGGGACGACATGGCGTCTGGGAGGCACGGCGGCTGGGGACGACATGGCGCCCTCGTGTGACTCGTCAATCGTGTGACGGTGTGGCCATTTCGAGGGCCTCATAGCAGGCGGGATGAATTGGAGCCTATCTGTATTTTATACACCAGTAACATTTCTACCTCTATATATCTGATATTACGCTAGCATGCAGAATGG